TGGGGGAATTTTGGGGGAAATTTGGGAATTTCGAGGGAATTTTGGGAATTTTGGGGAGAATTTTTATGAACTCGGGGGAAAATTTGGGAATTTTGGGAATTTTGGGGAGAATTTTTGGGAACTCGGGGGAAAATTTGGGAATTTTGGGAATTTTTGAGGGATTTAGGGGGGAATTTTTGGGATTTCGGGGGAATTTTGGGGGAATTTTGGGAATTTTGGGGAGAATTTTTATGAACTCGGGGGAAAATTTGGGAATTTTGGGAATTTTTGAGGGATTTAGGGGGGAATTTTTGGGATTTCGGGGGAATTTTGGGGGAATTCGAGGAAAATTTTGGGAATTTTGGGGGAATTTCTGGGATTTGGGGGCAATTCTGGGGAACTCGAGGCAAAATCCTGGAATTTTGGGAGACTTGAGTGGAATTTGGGGGGGAATTTTGGGGAATTTCGGGGGGAATTGGGAGAAATTTGGGGCAAATTTTCCCTATTATTTTTCCCGATTTTCCCCCAATTTTTCCCGGATTTTTCCCCAATTTTTCCTGAATTTCCCCGATTTTTCCCTATTATTTTTCCTTATTTTTCCCCTGGACTTTTCCCCATTTTTTCCCCCGATTTTTCCCGATTTTCCCCCATTTTTCCCCATTTTCCCCCGATTTTTTCTCCAGTTTTTTCCCGATTTTTTCCCGATTTTTCCCCAATTTTTCACTGATTTTTCCCCAGTTTTTCCCCAAATTTTTCCCCGATTTTTTCCCAATTTTTCCCAATTTTTCCCCATAATTTTTCCCGATTTTTCCCCGATTTTTCCCCGATTTTTCCCCAAATTTTTCCCCGATTTTTTCCCAATTTTTCCCAATTTTTCCCCATTTTTCCCCGATTTCTCCCCAAATTTTTCCCCGATTTTTTCCCTGATTTTCCCTGAATTTTTCCCTGATTTTCCCAATTTTTCCCCAATTTTTCCCTCTTTTTCCCTACTATTTTTCTGATTTTTCCCTGATTTTTTCCCTGATTTTCCCAGATTTTTACCCAATTTTTTCCCGCGATTTTTCCTGAATTTCCCGTTTTTTTCTGATTTTTTTCCCCGATTTTTTCCCCAATTTTTCCTGGATTTTTTCCCCAATTTTTCCTGATTTTTCCCCGATTTTTTCCCCGATTTTTCCTGAATTTCCCCCAGCATTTTTCCTCGATTTTTCCCGGGATTTTTCCCATTTTTCCCCAATTTTTCCCGGGATTTTCCCGTGATTTTTCCCAATTTTCCCCGATTTTTCCCCGATTTTTTCCCAGATTTCTTTCCCTGATTTTTCCCAATTTTTCCTGGGATTTTTCCCGATTTTTCCTGAATTTCCCCGATTTTTTCCCCAATTTTTCCCAATTTTTCCCCGATTTTTTCCCCAATTTTTTCCTGAATTTCTCCCGATTTTCCCTGGGATTTTTCCCAATTTTCCCCGATTTTTTCCCCCCATTTTCCCCCAGTTCTTCCCGGGATTTTCCCGGGATTTTCTCCCGATTTTTCCCCTTTTTTTTCCCCGATTTTTCCCTGTTTTTCCTGGATTTTTTCCCGATTTTCCCCCGATTTTTTCACCGATTTTTCCCCAATTTTTTCCCTATTTTTTCCCCAATTTTTCCCAATTTTTCCCCAATTTTTCCCCCCATTTTCCCCCAATTTTTCCTGGAATTTTTCCCGGGATTTTTCCCGGCATTTCCCCTGTTTTTCCCCATAATTTTTCCTGATTTTCCCCCGATTTTTCCTGTGATTTTTCCCAATTTTCCCCTATTTTCCCTTATTATTTTTCCCTATTATTTTCCCCAATTTTTTCCCGATTTTTCCCAATTTTTTCCCGATTTTTCCCAATTTTTCCCCGGTTTTTTCCCCCAATTTTTTCCTGAATTTCTCCCGATTTTTCCTGGGATTTTTCCCAATTTTCCCCTATTTTCCCTTATTATTTTTCCCTATTATTTTCCCCAATATTTTCCCGATTTTTCCCAATTTTTTCCCGATTTTTTCCCATTTTTTCCCCGGATTTTTCCCCCAATTTTTTCCTGAATTTCTCCCGATTTTTCCCGGGATTTTTCCCAATTTTCCCCCGGATTTTTCCCCCAATTTTTTCCTGAATTTCTCCCGATTTTTCCTGGGATTTTTCCCAATTTTCCCCAATTTTCCCTTATTATTTTTCCCTATTTCCCCCGATTTTTCCCGGGATTTTCCCCCGATTTTTCCCGGGATTTTTCCCCCGGGGATTTTTCCCCGGGATTCCCCCGATTTTTCCCCGCGTAAATTTTCCCTGGAATTCCCAAATTTCCCAGGTGAATTCCCTGGACGACAGCGGGGTGCTGGTGGGGAACTGGACCGGGGATTATTCCCAAGGAACGAACCCCTCGGCCTGGGCCGGCTCCGTGGGGATCCTGCGCAGCTTCCACGGCACCGGAGCCCCCGTCCGCTACGGCCAGTGCTGGGTGTTCGCCGGCGTGGTCACCACTGGTCCGTACTGGTTCATACTGGGAGAAACTGGGAGGGGGAGGGAAAAAAAAACGGGGGGAAACGGTGAAAAAATGGGAAAAATCGGTGAAAGGATGGCGGAGAAAGGGTTAAAAATGGGGAATAAAGGGTTAAAAATGGGGAGGAAAGGGTTAAAAATGGGGAGGAAAGGGTTAAAAATGGCGGGAAATGGGGGTTGGGGTGACTGGTTTGGACTGGTTTGTACTGGGAGGGACTGGGAGGGGGAAAACAGGGGAAAAACAGGGAAAAACGGGGAAAAAATGGCGGAGAAAGGGTTAAAAATGGCGGGAAATGGGGGTTGGGGTTACTGGTTTGTACTGGTTTATACTGGGAGGGACTGGGAGGGGGAAAACGGGAAAAATGGGAAAAAAACAGTGAAAAAATGGGAAAAAACGGTGAAAAAATGGGAAAAATCGGTGAAAAAATGGGAAAAATCGATGAAAAGATGGCGGAGAAAGGGTTAAAAATGGCGGGAAATGGGGGTTGGGGTTACTGGTTTGTACTGGTTTATACTGGGAGGGACTGGGAGGAGAGAAATGGGGGAAAAACGGGGAAAAAATGGCGGAGAAAGGGTTAAAAATGGCAAAGAAAGGGTTAAAAATGGGGAGGAAAGGGTTAAAAATGGGGAGGAAAGGGTTAAAAATGGCGGGAAATGGGGGTTGGGGTGACTGGTTTGTACTGGTTTGTACTGGGAGGGACTGGGAGGGGAGAAATGGGGGAAAAACGGGGAAAAACAGGGAAAAAATGGCAAAGAAAGGGTTAAAAATGGCAAAGAAAGGGTTAAAAATGGGGAGGAAAGGGTTAAAAATGGCGGGAAACGGGGGTTGGGGTTACTGGTTTGTACTGGTTTATACTGGGAGGGACTGGGAGGGGGAAAACGGGAAAAATGGGAAAAAAACAGTGAAAAAATGGGAAAAAACGGTGAAAAAATGGGAAAAATCGGTGAAAAAATGGGAAAAATCGATGAAAAGATGGCGGAGAAAGGGTTAAAAATGGCGGGAAATGGGGGTTGGGGTTACTGGTTTGTACTGGTTTATACTGGTTTATACTGGGAGGGACTGGGAGGAGAAAAATGGGGAAAAAATGGGGAAAATACGGGAAAATAAAGGGTTAAAAAGGGGTTTGGGGTTACTGGTTTGTACTGGTTTGTACTGGGTTATACTGGTCCAAACTGGTTTATACTGGTTTGTACTGGTTTGTACTGGTTTATACTGGTTTATACTGGTCAGAAATGAGTCAAACTGGGACAGAAAATATCCCTATATTGGTTTGTACTGGTTTAAACTGGTTTATGCTGGTCTATACTGGTTTATACTGGTTTAAACTGCGTTGTACTGGTTTATACTGGTTTAAACTGGTTTATACTGGTTTAAACTGGGTTGTACTGGTTTATACTGGTCCAAACTGGTTTATACTGGTCCATACTGGTCAGAACCGAGTGAAACTGGGACATAAACCATCCCTGTACTGGTTTATACTGGTTTAAACCACTTTAAACTGGCTTATTCTGCCCTATACCAGTTTATACTGGTTTATACTGGTTTATACCGGTTTATACCGGTTTATACTGGTTTATACTGGTTTATACTGGTTTGTACTGGTTTATACTGGTCAGAATGAGGTCAAACTGGGACCTAAACCATCCCTATACTGGTTTATACTGGTTTACACTGACTTAAACCCCTTTAAAGTGGCTTATTCTGCCCTATACCGGTTTATACTGGTTTATACTGGTCTATACTGGTTTATACTGGTCCAAACTGGTTTATACTGGTTCATACTGGTCAGAATGAGGTCAAACTGGGACCTAAACCATCCCTATACTGGTTTATACTGGTTTACACTGACTTAAACCCCTTTAAAGTGACTTATTCTGCCCTATACCGGTTTATGCTGGTTTATACTGGTCCATACTGGTTTATACTGGTCCAAACTGGTTTATACTGGTTCATACTGGTCAGTCCTGCGCTGCCTGGGGCTGCCCACCCGCACGGTGACCAATTACAACTCGGCCCACGACACCGACACCTCGCTGACCACCGACATCTACCTGGACGAGAGCATGCGGCCGCTGGAGCGCCTCAACACCGACTCCGTCTGGTACTGGTTTATACTGGTTTATACTGGTTTATACTGGGAGGGGCCCCAGGGATTTTTTTGGGATTTTTTTGGGATTTTTTGGGAATTTTTTGGGGGGAAAAACGGGGGAAAATGGGGGAAAATGATGGTTTATCATACTGGTTCATACTGGTTTATACAGGTTTATACTGGTTTATACTGGTTTATACTGGGAGGGGCCCCAGGGATTTTTTTGGGATTTTTTTGGGATTTTTTGGGAATTTTTTGGGGGGAAAAACGGGGGAAAATGGGGGAAAATGATGGTTTATCATACTGGTTTATACTGGTTTATACTGGGAGGGGCCCCAGGGATTTTTTTGGGATTTTTTTGGGATTTTTTGGGAATTTTTTGGGGGGAAAAACGGGGGAAAATGGGGGAAAATGATGGTTTATCATACTGGTTTATACTGGTTTATACAGGTTTATACTGGTTTATACTGGTTTATACTGGGAGGGGCCCCAGGGATTTTTTTGGGGATTTTTTTGGGATTTTTTGGGAATTTTTTGGGGGGAAAAATGGAGAAAAATGGGGGAAAATTGATGGATTATCATACTGGTTTATACTGGTTTATACTGGTTTATACTGGTTTATACTGGTTTATACTGGTCCATACTGGTTTATACTGGTTTATACTGGTTTATACTGGTTTATACTGGTTTTCCAGGAACTTCCACGTGTGGAACGACTGCTGGATGAAGCGGCCGGACCTCCCCGACGGCTACGACGGCTGGCAGGTGGTGGACGCCACGCCGCAGGAGACCAGCAGCGGTACTGGTTTATACTGGTTTATACTGGTTTACACTGGTTTATACTGGTTTACACTGGTTTATACTGGTTTATACTGGTTTGGACTGGTTTATACTGGTTTATACTGGTTTATACTGGTTTGGACTGGTTTGGACTGGTTTATACTGGTTTATACTGGTTTATACTGGTCCATACTGGTTTATACTGGTTTGGATTGGTTTATACTGGTATATACTGCTTTGGACTGGTTTATACTGGTTTATACCTGTTTATACTTGTCCATACTGGTTTATACCGGTCCATACCGGTCCATACCGGTTTATACTGGTTTATACTGGTCCATACTGGTCTGTACTGGTTTATACTGGTTTATAGTGGTCCATACTGGTCCATACTGGTTTATACTGGTCCATACTGGTCCGTACCGGTCCATACTGGTTTATACTGGTCCGTACTGGTTTCCCAGGCCTGTTCTGCTGCGGTCCCTGCTCGCTCACGGCCGTGAAGAACGGGGAGGTTTTCCTCAAGTACGACACGCCCTTCGTCTTTGCTGAGGTGGGCGTGGCCTCCGCATGCTAATGAGATGCTAATGAGATGCTAATGAGATGCAAATGAGGAGATAACAGCCCCTCCCCTCTGTACTCAACCCACGGTTGCTCCTCAAAGCGCTCATTAATATGCAAATGAGGGCGTTAACGGGGCAGACTCGACGTATTGTCGGGGCGGTGGGCGTGGCCGCATGCAAATGAGATGCTAATGAGATGCAAATGGGGCGCTAACGACCCCTCCCCTCCGCACTCACCCTGTGGTCGCTCCGCAAAGGGCTCATTAATATGCAAATGAGGGCGCTAACCCCATGCAGTGTCGGTACGGTGAGCACGGTCGTATGCAAATGAGGGGCGTGGTTATGCTAATGAGGACCAAGACAGCATAGCACTAATGCTAATAAGGCGAGCGGTTATGCAAATTTTATGCAAATGAGAGCGGGTCGGGCTGTGAAACCCTATTGAGAGGCGTGGCTGATGCTAATGAGCGGTGTTAATGAGGCTGATGAGGGGATTATTCATGCAAATGAGGTAATTAATCATGCAAATGATGTAATTGGTTGTGCTAATTTCATGATTATGAAATGGCTTAACGAAGTATTCAAATGACGTAATTAAGTATTCAAGTTCCGCAGCAATTTATTCAAATTAATTGGATTAATTACGCAATTAAAGTTAATCATGCAGGTATTGAACAAATTATGCAAATGAGCCGCGTAACGACTGCAGTATTGAATTAATTAACTGCGCTAATTAGGCCCTGCAGTTCTCACGTTCCGTCCCACAAAAGAAATAATTAGTATGCAAATTAGATACCAAAGTATGCATATGATTTAATGTATTCTTAATTGGGACAAGCAAATTTTGTCTTTGATGATGCAGATTGCGTGATTAATTATGCAAATGACGTGATTGATTGTGCATGCAACTGGGGATATCTCACGTGGTTTAATTATGTAAATTATTTAATTTATTATGCAAATGAGCTGTTGAGTCCGCAGGCCCAGGGCTGTGTCATTATGCAAAGCAGAGATTAATGAGACCAATTAGTGGGGGCGTTATGCAAATTAGGGGGCTTCAGTCATTTTGCAGGTGTGTCGGTGATCAAATATGCTAATGAGGCGATTAATTATGCAAATGAGCAAGAAAAGAGCGCTGCAGTGGCAGCTGCAGCCCCATCTGACTGATTAGCAGCCCTAATTAACAGAGACTAATTACCCTAGTTAGGAAGCGTAATTCTGTTTAAGGCCTGATGTGTTATGCAAATGAGCTCATTAATTATGCAGACACACTTTAGGCAGCGCCAGGCTCGCAGAACGTGTCCCATTGCCTCATTAACACAGCAGGCGCTAATTACCCTAAATTTGTGGCATGACTGATTCAGGCTACAGAGAGGTAATTAAACATGCAAGCGAGCTCATTAAATATGCAAATGAGGAGTTGAACAGGGACGAGATGCACCAGACACAAAGAACCTCTTCCATTGCCTCATTAACAAAGCGGGCACTAATTACCCTAAATTAGGGGCATGACTGATTGTCGTTACAGAGGGGTAATTAGATATGCAAATGAGCTCATTAATTATGCAAACGAGCAGGTGAACAGCGACAAGGTGTACTGGCAGCGCCAGATCCACGGGGGCTTTGCCATTGCCTCATTAACAAAGCGGGGACTAATTACCCTAAATTAGGGGCATGACTGATTGTCGTTACAGAGAGGTAATTAGACATGCAAATGAGCTCATTAATTATGCAAACGAGCAGGTGAACAGCGACAAGGTGTACTGGCAGCGGCAGCCCCACGGGGGCTTTGCGGTGGTGCACGTGGAGGAGGGGGCGATCGGCCGCAGGATCAGCACCCTGGGGGCCGGCACCGCGGCCAGAGTGGACATCACTGACCAGTACAAACACCCCGAGGGTGAGTGACCACTCACTGAGTGACCGCTGAGTGACCCTGAGTGACCCCTGAGTGACCCCTGAGTGACCCTGAGTGAGCCCTGAGTGACCGCTCAGTGAGTGTGAGTGGCCGCAGGATCAGCACCCTGGGGGCCGGCACCGCGGCCAGAGTGGACATCACTGACCAGTACAAACACCCCGAGGGTGAGTGGGAGTGACCACTCACTGAGTGACCGCTGAGTG